AAAATATAAAATGCATGATACAACCAAACAGACTCTATAACAATATTGTATATTAAGTTGTATTTTATTCCGTAAAAAAATAAATGATTTAAAGGTTAGTGTGCCCAGTTCACTCAACAAGTTAGGATTTTCTTCTACGTCTTCGCAGTCTTTTCGTTGCTAAAATGACTCGTTATTATTACCTAAACGATCTCGATTATTTACCCTTCTCGGTATACACTTTGAAATGAAGATCGAACATACACATGTAAATACAATTTCCGGACAAGATGGGATGATTAAGGAACAAACTTAATGGAGTTGCCATCAGACATCTAGTTTTTTTTTTTTATTGCAAGCTTTCATTCCCTGTACCGGTGTCGTCCGTTCAGTTAAGCCTTATGACAGAATCAAATTTTAAATTGTATAATAATACTAGATTATACTTTAATAAAGTTTGTTTAAGAGCAAAACTGGTCGAATCCCGAATTTTAGCGTTATAAGCTTACCGCTGAGCAACCACTGGAGGAGAGACTTTATATCAAATTAAGGCTCGCATGAAATAACAATCAAGCGAAACCATTAAACTTTTAGTGTCCGAAGCAATCCATCCCACTAATAAAAGAACATAATTAAATTTTAGTTTTGTCAGGTATGTGGAGAATATTCATTGACCTAAACTGAATTTCAGTCATTAGGCTCGAGCCCTGCGTTCTGTTGCTATAGCAGCCGTATCCACGGCTTCTAACGTCGGAGGTGAAGTAATCACTGTAAATGGTTTTTCGCAATGCAAGTACAGTGCTCAGGAAGAAACGAAAATTATTGGCATTTATGGCAGGAAGTATCAGTGAAGAGTGTTACAACCTGGGGACATAATCAGAAGGTTACAACATCAGAACTCTGCGAGTAGTACAAAAAAAAACAACAACAGAGAAATATGGTGTCTTGATGAAATTAAATATTAATAGGCAAACCATTGATTTGTAATTTCAAAAGTAGAATATATAACAATATACTATAAATATGGGTTTAAAAGAAAAGAATAAAGTAATGCCGTGGACAAAAACTGAGTATTTACATTTAAACATAAGACTCAGTAGTTCACACACACGAAATAATTTGTGGTTGTTTTTGTTTCTTTGTATTAAAAAAATTGAAGTGTTTTGTCAAAAATGGATAAAAGGAACTATTATTGATTGAGTAAGCCTGGCATGACCAAGTGGTTAGGACGCTTGACTCACAATCTGAGAGTCGCGGGTTTGAATCCCACCAAACATGTTCGCCCTTTCAGCCGTGAGGGCGTTATAATGTACTGGTCAATCCCAATATTCGTTGATAAAAGAGTAGACTAGCTGCCTTCCTTCTGCTAAAGTAGGGACGGCTAGCGCAGATAGCCCTTGTGTAGCTTTGCGCGAAATTCAGAACAGACCAAATCATTGATTGAGTAGACAAATAAAAGGAAGTTGTATCCTCTGTGATCTTGGAGTCAAAACGGAAGTATCATTATGTAACTAGGTAAATGGAAGATCTGTCTTCCATATTCATGTAATAGAAAAGGAAGTATTATTTACTTGTCCTTTTATTGAAAACGGAAGTATTACCGAGTAGATAGACGGAAGCATACGATAACACCAAACTTATCTAAGCCTTTTAAAATACCATATGTAATCAAGAATTATGGTAAGGCTCCAGCTATTTCTAACTCTTCACTGTTAATCCTCGACCATCTTACAGAACAAAAAAGTGTATATATATTATTTCTGTGCATATTGTTCTTGCAGCTGTTGACGAGGTACCTGGATTACTCCAAAACCATAGTTTAAATTATTTACGCCAGTTGTGTACAAACATTAAGTACAATGGGGAATAATGCTTTAGCAGTTTGATACGATGAGATAATAACACGACTTTACATAATTTTGAAAGCTGGTTGCTTTAACTGAAAGTCTCAACGCTTGTTGTTTTAACTGCAACTCTAAACGCTGGTTGTTTAAACTGCAACTCTAAACGCTGGTTGTTTTAACTGTAACTCCACTTCTGAGCTTGTTAAGCGAGCTGTATTACATCTCAGTAAATCTTAGTTGGAAAGTTACTAAAATCATTCTGTTAAACAGTTGTTCTATTGGGACAATGTTGACTAACGTTTTACAAATATCTAAATCATCATCATGTTACAAATTATTAGTAAAGTACTGTCACACTTGCTAGCCTAAAATAAAATACAGGTGATTGCATTTTATAGGAATATTGTTGTTGTTCTTTTTTTTCACAGTTCGACGCAGGATCGATTATAGTCTTTGATGCTGTTGAACAATTGATTAGATGTTGAGATCTATACACCTACCAAAATATCAAGTTAAAATTCGATTTTCTTTTGCTTTTTCTCTTTTATTCGAGTGTCGACTATTAAAAAAATTTCAATGTTTGTGTCTGTTGTTTGTAGTAAAAACATCCGAGAAGTACTTGATTGTATTTACTTGTTTTAATTTATCTTAGAATAAATTATCTAATTTACCTATTCTTTCCACAATAGAAAGGAGAGATACAAACATTATGATAGATGATTGTTTCTAACGCCTCAGCAAGGATACTCTGTCTTTTGAAGTATATACGAGTAAGTAACCATTCAACGAAGACTTAAATCTACAGGAGCGGTTTTATTTATTTATTCACGAAATCTTTAAATCAGACGCTGAAAAAAAAGCCTAGGCGAAAGAATAATCAAGAGTGTACGCACGAATTAAATGTTTATTTGACAACTGCTTTAATAATTTCATCATTCTGACCGTTAATGTGCGCGAAAATTGTAAACTGAATATGTGTTTTCTACGTATACATTTGTAGATAAGTAATTTGCAAGTTATTTTGTATCTTCGAGGAAGACTAATATAATGTAAAATAAGGTAGTAATGTAAATATTAAATGTAGCATGCAGTTAGGCACAACTGACATCTGACAAGAACGTTGTAAGAAAAAATTGAGATAAAAACACTAACGATAATATTAAACTTAGCAGAAGAACAAACACTTCGGAATGTCGTTGTAAAAGGAACAAATATAATTTAATGAGAATTATCGTAAATTAACTGGTGGTATTAAATTTGGTAACGAAGCAAAACAGAAGCTTGGAAAGGATATTGTGGAGGAAGATCCGTATCATAGTTATAATGACAGTAAATGTAGCAGGATGTCACTATGGATGCCTTAAGGAAGATCGAGATTAGATTGATGTGAATAAAACTAGGGGTTATGTAGCAATATAGATCTCTTCATACCTGTTACTGCAGCGTTAGCGCACGTGGAATGTATGATATGGTTTGATTTTCCTTGCATGCATTTATTTCTTTGTGTGGTTGTGCAGAATTGACAGAATTTCATTGACAACAGGAGAGTCTACTCCTGATGAGCTCTTCTTCTAAGAGATGTTGAGTGTTTGTTTTTGTTTGTTTTTAATTATGCACAAAGCTACACAAGGGCTATCTGTGCTCT